CCTGTGCCATGTTGGTGTGCTGCACCCATCAACTCGTCAGCACCCATCAACTCGTCATTTACATCAGGTATAACTCCCAATGCAATCCCTCCTCCCTCCCCCCAACACCCTACTTTTTTAAAAGAGACTGGGTCCTGCTCTGTGGCTCAGGTTGACGTGCAGTGGTGCCATCATGATTCCCTGCAGGCTTCAACTCCTGGGCATCAAGCGATCCTCTGGCCTTGGCCTCCTGAGTAGCTGGGACCACGGACATGTACAACCATGCCTGGGTAGTATTTTTTAAAAAAGTTTTTGTAGAGATGGGTTCTCACTGTTGCCCAGGATGGTTTTGAACTCCTGGCCTCAAACAAACCTCCCACCTCAGCCTCCCAAAGTGCTGGGATTACAGGTGTGAGCCACCAGCCCTGGCCCCTCAACCCACCCTGAACTCACCTATCTCTCCTCCATCCCTCTGAAAAGGCCCTGTGGTAAATGGGTTTTGCTGGGGCAGCACCACATCCAACTCCCTTTCCTATGGGGAGCAGCTTCTCCTCTTCAATGTTATGGCTCCAGTGGGCTCCACCTCCTCCTGCTCTGTGAACAGGGCCACCCAAAGCTCCCTATTCTCATGGGTCAGAGGCGGGCTCAGAGAAAGGCACACAGGCCCAGGCAGCCAATCAGGATCCTCCCTTGGGATTTTTCCACGTGGAGCTGGACAAGACAGACTTTGCATTTAATAGAGTGAACTTGAAAACCGAAACAGGCTTCCTTCCCATGTGCACGAGGCCATACTTCCTCTTTCTGCTGATGCTACTCTGAGTGGATTTCCATCACTTTCAACTCAAGTAATTTTTTCCTTTTATATTTTCCATATTTTAAGAGACTGGGTCAGCCGGGCACAGTGGCTCACGCCTGCAATCCCAACACTATGGGAGGCCACAGCGGGCGGACCGCCTGAGGTCAGGAGTTCGAGACCAGTCTGACCAACATGGAGAAACCCCGTCTCTACTAAAAATACAAAGTTAGCCAGGCATGGTGGTGCACGCCTGTAATCCCAGCTACTTCGGAGGCTGAGGCAGAAGAATCACTAGAACCCGGGAGGCAGAGGTTGTGAGCCGATAATGTGCCATTGCACTCCAGCCTGGGCAACAAGACTCCATCTCAAAAAGAGACTGGGTCTCACTATGTCACTCAGACTAGCATGCAGTGGTGTGATCATGGCTCACTATAGCCTCAACCTCCTGGGCTCAAGTGATCCTCCCACCTCAGCCTCTCAAGGAGCTGGGACTACAGGTGTGTGCCCCATACCTGGCTAATTTTTTCAATTTTGTTTTTTGTAGAGATAGGGTCTATGATGCCCAGGCTGGTCTCGAACTACTGGGCCCAAGTGATCCTTCTGCCTCAGCCTCCCATGCAGACAGGGCCACAGGTGCACACCACCATGCTCAGCTAATTTTTTGAATTTTTATAGAGATAGCGTCTTTCTTGGTTGCCCAGGCTGGTCTCGAACTCCTGGGCTCCAGCGATCCTCCCACTGTGGCCTCCCAAAGTGCTGGGATTATAGGCATAAGCCACTGTACCTGGCCACCAAATTTTCTTTAGTTGAAGACACAGAAATTTTAGTTTTGAGAAAAAGTCCTGAATTCCAAAATCACACATCAAAATCAAACGTCGATATGGGAAATGAATGAACTCCCTCGTATAGACAATTCCCCCTTTGCCCATGAGCCCCCAGTGCTCCCTCACCGCCCTGGGGAAGAGGCTGTTTGTTCTTCTCTTCCACCAGGCAGCCATGGTCTGTGTTCATTTTAATCACATTCTATTTCAAAGAATCCGTGAAGTTTCTCCACCACAAGTGAACAAAATAGCAGCTCAGGCATCTTAGGATCAAGCCCTAAGAAGACATGGAGGCCGAGTGAGATGGCTCACGCCTGTAATCCCAGCACTTTGAGAGGCTGAAGCAGGCAGATCACCAGAGGCTGGGAGTTCGAGATCAGCCTAGCTAACATGGTGAAACCACATCTCTACTAAATATACAAAATTAGCAGGGTGTGGCGGCATGCGCCCATAATCCCAGCTACACGGGAGGCTGAGGCAGGAGAATCGCCTGAACCCGGGAGGCGGAGGTTACGGTGAGCCAGAATCACGCCACTGCACCCCAGCCTGGGCCCTGGGCAACAGAGTAAAACTCGGTCTCCAAAAAAAAAAAAAAAGACATGGAAGCTGTGAAGCTGTGCCTGGAGTTCTGTCATGTTTGGGGGAAATGCCCGTTATCGTGCTGGGAACAAAAATTACAAAGAGTGAAGCTGTAAAGTTAGTAATGTCCTCAATGTTTAGATTCAAACTACAATGAAAGTTAAACACAGTCACCATTTTGGACATTTTATTTATAGAAATTTCCAGCAGAGCCATTGTTAAGTACCTTTGTGAGGAGATGCCTGTGAGAACCTAGATGGGAAAACAGCCACAAGTTGATCTGCATCTGTTCCTCCCCAAAACTCCACACACACCAGAACAGGAACAGCCAGGCGAGCCTCTGGGTGCGCAGTGATGCGCTGTCTGAGGCGCGGCCCAGCACGTGCTTCCTCAGCAGATGCTACACACACAGATCTGGACCAATGACAGAAACTTCACAGATGTAACCTCCAAGTGCGACCTCAAATGACAAACAACTTTCTCAGGTGGTGCCCGGACAGGAAAGGCACCAGAACAGAATCTGTAGAAAACCAAACCTGTCATGATCAGCATTCCTATCTGACGTTAACCTCCTAAACTAGCTGACCTTATTTATTTTGAAAGCAAATCAAGTGTATACAATCTCTTTTAAAAAATTGTGCAAATATTGTAAAGTTTTTAGGGGCTGTTTATAATCTGAAGAGATTTATAAAAAATTACTGGATTTGTTAGGACTATAAATACTAACCCAGCCTCCCCCATGAAAAAAGCAATTGTTACAAAAATATAAAAAATATACTAGCTTCTACGATTTAACCTTTCCACCAGAAACCTCACCACTCTGGGACTCATCCCGGTTTACATACCACACAGCAAGCACAAGCGCAATTTTTTCCGTTTTTTAAGGAAGGAAAAGTTTTAGAACATTCCCTTTTGTTATTTGAGATTGTGGCTATTTTCTTCATAGGGGCTGTGATGTCGGTGGGTAAGGACAGTTTGGAGTTTCCGACTGTTTCCTCTACACGGACCCGGTGTGGAAATCACAGCATAGAGACGGCTCTAAGCCTCACTCCTCGGCCTCTTTTGCTTTCTCTCCAGCTCCTCCAATCCCATTTTGGGACATGCCGGGTCCCAGGCTCCTGAGCTTCCCTAACTTCCCACTGGGGAAGGCAGGGAGGATGGGGAGGCTCCCAGTGAGGGAGGCGAGGGCTAAGCCCATAGCACCGCAGCCTCGAGTGTGGTCCGCCCAGGGTTGCTAATGGCAGGGAAGCCGCATGCTGGGGGATGGCACCCTCCTGGCCTGGGAGAGGACTGATGCCACAGGTCAGAGTCTGCAGCCTGGGAGGGGAGCCGGAAACTAACGTGAAGGCAACACTCTGCATGAAAGCACGCCAATGAACCTCCAATCACGACTCACTGACTCCTCCACAGCAGCCAAGCTGCTAGGCAATTTTATCACCTAAAAGCAAGGAAACCGACCAGATTCAGCTCGCCACCATTCAAGAAAGGACAGGGCCTTGGCTGCTCTGCAGGTCCGGCGATTGCCCTTGAGGGGAGGACATTTCCAGCCTTCATTTCCCCGCTGCTGCCAGCAGGGGGCGATGTGCACACAGGCTCGGTCAGGGCCTCGGGAGAACAGGCACCAGTCACCCACGGGATGGGTCCACACCATTCCAGTGGGACTCTCCACGGAACTGGGACACTGCCGGGCTGCACCTTGTGTCCCTGAAATTCAGACAGACCTCTCCGATGGGGTTCCAGCCTACACATGTTCAAGGGAACTCCTCATTCCCAAAGCCAGCCGGGCGCACAGAATTCTCAGGCCTGGCTGCGCTGCTGGGAAGCGGAGACCCGGTTCCTCCTGCAGCCTGGCTCACCCCCATGCCTCACCGTGAGGCCTTCTGACGGTGGCCGCAGCCCCCAGCATCTACCCCAAGCTAGTGCAGCATCCTGCCCAGTCCACGTGCTACTGTGCTCCCCGCCTGCCTCCAGGCCACGGGGCGGACCCTCTCTCAGCCCCAGGGGCCTTCCAGGCCCTTCTGTTCAAAGGACCGGATGCTTCACACCGCTAAGGGCTTTATTTCACAGATCACGGTGGTGAGTTTGGATTTCCAGCCCTCACCACGGTTAAGTCACACATTTCCCGACACCTGCTCATTTCTCCAGATCTTAAACATCTCACCCAACACACCCTAGTTGTTGTAAACCCCAAATGAACTTTCCAGAAGCAAAAACAGTAACAGATTCAGAGAACCCTGGCCACACCTGCTGAGCAGGTCCCCTCTACTCTGGTTGCATATAGAATGCTTGTCTGCTCAAAAGAGAGGCGCTGTCAACATCAAGGCACAAAGAAAGACGTCTCCGGGGGCAAAATGATGATGAAGTGACCAGCGGCCTCTGCGAGGCCCAAGGCAGAGTCACGGGGGAGGCGAGTTCAGCCTGGTGGGCATTGGGAGGAAGAGCTGAGGACGGGCCTCCCGCTGGGGCTCAGGCGTCCTCACGCGTACTTCTCCAGGAAGTTGATGTGGAAATCCTTCACTTTCTGCAGCACCGTCTTCAGCTTCTCCACTGGAGGGAGGATGGTCATCCTGGCAGGAGAGACAACAGTGTCAGCCTGGCTGCTCTGCAAGATGGGAGAGGAACGAATCCAGCAGCTCAACTGCCTCTAGGATTGGAGGAGGGAGGTCTGCCTGGTCCGCTTCCACAGCTCCAGACCGGACAGCGCCCAGCACTTGGACCACTTTTCCCTTCATTCATATGTTGGTTTTTTCACCCAAGTAATACACGTGAACAAAAGCAATAAACTGGAGCAGCATTTAGGCTTAAGATATATCCACCCATTACTGCAGAAGGCCTGCATCACTTTTTTTTTTTTTTTTTTTTTGAGATGGAGTTTTACTCTTGTTGCCCAGGCTGGAGTGCAATTGCATGATCTCGGTTCACTGCAACATCCACCTCCCGGGTTGAAACAATT